GATCAAACGCCTTTTTATAATCGGGGTACCTGAGGATGACATCCTCAGAGGTCAGGATGTTACGCAGCTTTTCAAAAGCTTGCCGTTGCGGCTCGGTTAACTGTACCTGGATGCTTAGGGATCTGTGTCTGCTGACATTTCCAAGCTCCCCTTGTATAATGCTCGAAATGGGCTTAGGTATTGATGCAAAATCTTTAATTAAGCCAGCCAAGCCCATGAATGATCTTACTTCGAAAACGTTTTTAGGCTCAGGGAATTCTTTAATGGCCCTGACTTTTCCGGGTCTGTGGTCCCCTCGTTGGTGACTATAAACCCCAAAAATTTAACGCTTTTTTTTAAGAAGACCGATTTATGCGCTGACACTCTCATGTTAGCGTCGTGTAGGCTCTTTAGTACCCAGCCCACGTGTCGTATGTGGGCGTTTTCGTCCTCTGAGAAGACGATAACATCATCGACATAGACGTAGCAAAATTTGCCAATCTGTTCTCGCAGTATGTCGTCGATGGTTCTTTGGAAGATGCTGGTAGCATTTCTTAACCCGGATGGCAGTTGGCGAAACTCGTATTTTCCCCCGTTTACGAAAAAGGAAGTTTTCTCACGGTCACGTTCTGCCAGAATAATTTGGTGGTAGCCAGACTTCAAAACGAGCGTTGTGAAGTATTTGGCTTTGCCTAAATTCCCTAGTATCATAGGGATAATTGGCATAGGGTAGCGATCCGGTATTGTCCTCTTGTTTAATTTTCGAAAGTCTAATACTAGCCGCATTTTACGGTTTCCAGATTCGTCGGTGCCTTTTTTGTCTGCTACCCATATTGGGTTATTGTAGGGGAATCTCGACTTCTGGATTATGCCGTTTTTTAGTAGGTCTTGGATTTCGTCATTGGCGAAATCTGCCGCTCCCATCGGATACGGATAGGGTCTGGCATAAATGGGCTCCTCATCAACTGTCCTGATGGTGGCTACCACAGACGTGTTGTAAGGTAACGCCTCATTTGGGCTTGCGAAGGCGTTTTTCCTGTCGCTTAGCATGTTTGAAAATGCTCTTCTGACCAAAGGTGGCGCTAGAGCAGTCCACCTCAGTGAAATTTACATTGGGACATGATTGGAACTCTAGCTTTTCCGTCTCGGAGCCCCATCTGAGGTGACCGGAAGCTAGGTTAAGTAATGCTCCTGCTTGTTTTAGCAGGTCAAGGCCGATGATGGCATCAAAGGAGGACAAATCTGTATTCTCGGTGGAATGTACCGAGAATGGCGAATCGACGCGCCCGTGTCTATTAAAAGCTTCATTTCTACACCTGCTACTCTTTTTCTGATGACGGGTAGCAGGGACTTTCCCCTAAAAAATGGATGACGTCCGAATCGTAATCTTTAATAGCGTCGTCGTCAATTTCCTGAGCCGCGCTTGAAGCTGCGGCGGTATATTTGCTCCCGGTTTCGCTCGCGCCCTGCGCGACGTGATTAACCCTCTGCCTTTTATGTGGGGCAGATCGATCGGACTCAGCCGGCTTCCTTTTTTGGTATGCCGGGGCTTGGGATGGCCTCAGCATCTTGGACAGCGATGGGTCGATGTCGATGTTGTGTTGTTTGACGTAGTACGGATTTTTTCCAGCGTTTGTTTGTGAATTTACCTGCGCAGGCGCCTGTCGGTATTCTTGCGCTTTTGGGTGCTGTTTTTTATCTTTGTCCTCTTGGCTTTTGGCAAATGAAGCCACGAAGGAGTATCTTTCGTGTTTAGATTCCACTTCTTGTGCCAAAGCGAGAGCTGAAGGCATATCTTTCGGCTTTGCCGAAAAAAGGACATCCGTGAGGCTGCGCTTAAGCCCCGAGATAAATACTCGGAGTGCGTCCCGGAATTTGTCACATAAGACCTTTGCCGCCGAGGCTTCGTACGACATAGTGGCCTTGTTGGTAAGCAAGGTGAGTTTTTTCTCGACCTCCTCATAGTATTGTAGAAGGGTCATATTTCCCTTCCTAAGAGTACCCATTTCCTGCTCGATAACGTGCATCTGCCGCTTATCATTGTACGTAAAATCGAGTCGATTTATAATCAGTGCCAAACGAAGACAGTATGGCATCGGCAGGGCCCCTTATATTATTCCTAATAATAATAACTGCCTGATAATGGCGCGAGCTATTTTCGTAATTTCGTAATTAATGATTTTTGTAATAAAAACAACAAAGTGCCACACACTGTATGTGCAGCCGTATCGTGTTCTCGAGAATGGAGTGGGGAAACAAAACGGAAAAGAAAAATAAATAACCAAAACTGCGCAGCTAATACCAAGAATTCTTGTGTAACAAAAAAGACATATAAAAGCTGAATTAAATACACCCGATTATATAAATTATTTCCGATTGAAATTTAAAATTTTCTGCCAGCGATTTTTTTGTTTTGGTTAGGAATTTTTTTTCCGCACTTTTTGTGTTATATAGAAATATTCATTTATTTATTCACAAAAAACAGAAATGAAAACAATATTGGGACAATAATTGGTTTACAAAAAAATGGTTTATACATTTTATTATAGATAAAAAAAAGTTAATGCTAAACCGTCAGCCAACTAATGAAGATTAATTAAATTTAAAAAGTTGATGGGGCTGCAGTTTTTTTTTGGCGTAAGCCACAATATTTCACAATTCTTGTCTTTCTATTTTTTTGTCTTTATACAAAAAAATTCATGCAGACTTAGAGGTACTGTGTAAATAAAAGTGCTCACTTACATGGTTTTTTACGATGGGCGCCAATTAATATAATTAGATTTGTGTTTTAATGTGTAATAGTTGATTATCCCTCGCTGCAGTCGGTGATGGCTCAGACGTTGGAGAAATGTTGGGTTGTCACGGCACTTGAGGCGCGGTGACCAATTCAACAAAATGAATTTGGGCTGGTAAAGGCATAACGGCTGTGCCGGAGATTGGTTTTAATAGTGCTCTTTATTCAATGAGACTCTGACACAAACTGAACCTTAAAGCTAACAAAAAGTATTTCATAGCGGCCACGCGAATGTGCAGTGCTTGCCGCTATGCATGGGCTTCTGGCCAGACGCTGTGTCAGCAGTTTGGCCAGAGCCAGCTCTTAAATAATCGGACATTGTCGCTGCTCAGTTAACTTCAGTTAACTTACACAAAACATTTTATTGCTAAGACTTAATCTTATTTGTAAATATATGTCAAATTTATGCTGAAATATTAAACAATATAATACAACAAATAATATAATTTCTTTCGTCATTTCACCCAGTGACGAATACCCGAAGCTTGTTAGGGTAGCTAGCCTTAAAAGTTAGAAAAATCGAAATTTCTGTGCGCTGGCTTCGAAACGAAATCGCACGCACACATGCACCTGTGTATGTGAATATTTGACACGCATATATACACACAAAGATCAATCAAAGCGCAGAACAACCTTTTTCATTGCGCTCCTTTAAAAGACTGAGAAATAGAAGCATTCAATGAGAATATGAGCGTAAGATGAACGAGCGATGAGCGTAAGAAAAAAAATCGCCGCAATAATGTGTTTTTAATTTTATCATTAATCTAATGTAAACCACTACAAACTCTCCAATTCACAATAATAACCAATTTACAAAGCACTGTTACAACCATGGACTGCAAATAAGACTTATGAGTTCAAAAAAATTGAACCACAAAAAAGCCCTTGTGGAGAGTGGGAAAAGGACACATATACCACTTTTAAACGGTGAATGCAGAAACACAATACACTTTTATTTCGATTTATAAGCCTAGTACTCTGACGACGAAAATCCGCTGTCACACGTGTGCTAGCGAAATCGCTCTTTATTTGGCTACTGAGCTAGTGTACCAAAAAATTAAGGATAAGGGTAATACTGAACAGCTGAATTTTACACCCCAAAATCAGCTGTTTATTTTTTCGATCCGGCAACGTCTTTCAATTTGATAGCCATAATTTTCGTCGTCAGAGTACCGGCAAAATATAGGAGGCAAAAATTTCTTCTTCTTCCTTATTTTACACCGTTTTTTTTACATGGAGTTTGACAGCTGTCACACGTGTGACAGCGAATTTTCGTCGTCAGAGTACTAGGCTATATTGTTAAAATTTAAATATAACTCTTATTTTCTATTTTTATACCCTTGTAGACGGTATTATAATTTTGGTCAAAAGTGTGCAACGCAGTGAAGGAGACATCTCCGACCCTATAAAGTATATATTATTGATCAGGATCACCTCCTGAGTTGATATGAGCATGTCCGTCTGTCTGTTTCTACATGAACTAGTCTACCAGTTTTAAAGTTATCGACTTGAAACTTTGCACACACCCTTCTTTTTTTTTTGCTCGAAGTATATAAGTCAGAACGGCCAGGAGCGGCCGACTACATCCCATAGCTGCCATATAACTGATTGATCGGAAATGCAATAACTTTGGTGCATTATGCAATTATAGAGTTCAGATTTCGTACGAATGCCATTTTTTGGCGAAATAATACAAAATTTCATAACAATCGGCCGACTATATCTTATAGCTGTCATATAACTGAACGATCCGAAATGGTAATTGGTAAAAATACCAACGTTGGTGTTCTTGAAGATAGAAACTTCGGACTTTTTTATATTTTTTATTGTAATTGGTTATATATGATATTCTCATAAGGATAGACAAAATATATCCAATTTTAGCGATATATATCCGGTTTAACTGCAAGGGTATATCAACTTCGGCTCCGCCCGAAGTTAGTTTTCCTTTCTTGTTTTGAACTTATTTTTTTATAGTCTTTCTATACAAATGAGCAAATTTTAGCAAAATGGGTGGGAAAATATTAAACATTTTTATTTAGAAAATTTAGAAAATTTCAAAAATTGGGGTTTTTTATTGGAAGAACCTTTAAGGGGTTAATTAACCCCCCCTAAAATTGTTAATTTAGCATTATTTAGGGAATATAAATATAAAATATAATATATAATATAAAATGTTACGTTTAGGTAGTATTTTTTATAGCTTGGAGAACGGGCATCCTTTTCGTATTGACAGTTTTTTAGATACGGTCCTACTGAGCAGAAATGTGCATGTGGAAATTTATAAGAAATAAACTATATAAGTCGTAATTCTGTAGATACTTCAGATACGACTGAGTATATTACTTCGCGACAGTTAAATTAAAGTAAATCAAGCTGGTTATTTGTAAATATCTACATTTTTAAAGTACATCTATATGTACATATGCGTCAGGTAAATAATAGTGGGGGAAAAATGGGGACAGCAACCAACATTACATGATGACATATCAAAAATATTGAAACCGCCTAAAATATAAAAAATGATACTTTTAGTGAGCTCGGTTTTTATTGCTTAAAAATTTTCTCCATACTGTAGTATATGAAAGTTAACACGCGCAGATAAAAAATTGTACATACGTATGTATGTACTTACATATGTATGTGCTTAGGCATATGCACTGTAATAATCCATGGTTTACACTCAGTGTTAAATTTCATCTTTCTTCTGGCGTTTCATCGCCACAAAGGCGACGTTGTTATATTTTTTATATTAAGCGAACAAGTATTTAAGAAATAAATTATATAGAAAAGCTACATATATCACATAAAAATTTTCAATCGGTTTTTTAATTGTCAATGTGGCAATTATGAATTTTATATTTTAAATATACTTTTATTTATCGAAAGTTGGACACAAAATTTCTCCCGGCAAAGCATTACATAAAACCTAAAAATTTCAGGGCAATTTCGTAAATTTTATCACAGCTCATTAAAAGGTAAAATAAACTAAGCTTACAAAAATTTTGATGTAAAAATAACTGAGTATATATTGTAGAATCAAATGGTTGTGTGACAATTCATATCAGCGGGTCCGAAATCGCCCTAGAAGTCTATTAAACGGCTAGACTACTCGTTTTGGAGATTTCTTACAAAAACTAATCTGGGTTATACGTAATGCAACAAGCTTTACCAAATATATCAACACAAACAGATATAGCCGTCATGCAGCCCCATTCAACTCAAAATATGGTATGTAATCAAACCGAACTCTAAGTTAATCAAAGTAAACTGTCATTCTTATGTATCGTTAATTTTATTTTTTTGACACAACACATTTTTAGTTAGTTTCTTTTTATTTTTTTTCTTTTCCGCGTATAAAATACGGATCGAATGAAGAAAAATAAACCTAACAAAATAAGAATCTAGGCCAAAATTCACTCAAATGACTTGCTAAGAAATAGATTTACCAAACAAAACAAGAAAGATTCCCGACTATATTAAACCCAGTACTCATGACTACCACCCACCCTTTAATTAACCTTTGAAGGTGGTCGGCAAGGCCCTATTCCAGGGGCATAGGAAATTTCTCTGCCCACGCTCTACTGCACACAAAAAGTATAATGCACAAATTACTATTCGTTAGTAAGTAATATTCGTTACTAATACCAAAGATTATACAGAACACATATGGGACATCTCATAGAAACAAGTGTTCTTATGGCGGGTATTATAGCTTTTATTATAGCTTTTTATATTATAATTTTTTCCAAAAGTGTGCAACGCAGTGAAGGTGACATCTCCGACCCTATAAAGTATATATTCTTGATCAGGATCACCTCCTGAGTTTATATGAGCATGTCCGTCTGTCCGTCTTTCTGTCTGTCTGTTTCTACATGAACTAGTCTACCAGTTTTAAAATTAACGACTTGAAACTTTGCACACACCCTCCTTTCCTTTGCACGCAGTATATAAGTCGGAACGGCCGGGATCGGCCGACCATATCCTATAGCTGCCATATAACTGATTGATCGGAAATGGTATAACTTTGTTGTTTATAGAGTTAGAGAGTTCAAATTGAACATGAGGGCAAATTTTTTTGGCAGAACATTTTTTGGCAAAACATTACGACATGCCAAATTTCATTAGGATCAGCCAACTATATCCTATAGCGGCCATATAACTGAACGATCGAAAATGACCCAACATTCGTGTTTTTGAAGATAGAAAGCTGGAATTTAATACAGATTATATTTTTGGTCAGTTAATCCGACCTACCAAATTTCATAACGATGGGCTGACTATATCTTATAGCTAGCATATAACTGAACGATCGGAAATGGTTTTTGATAAAAACACCAACTTTGGTATTTTTGACGATAGAAGTTTGGGACTTTTTTTTAGATTTTAAATTATAATAAATTGGGTTATATTATTATATTCTCATAAGGATCGGCCAACTATATCCGATGTTTGCGATACATATCCGGTTTTAACTGCAAGGGTATATAAACTTCGGCTCCGCCCGAAGTTAGCTTTCCTTTCTTGTTATACCCTTGAAGAGGGTATTATAATTTTGTCCAAAAGTGTGCAACGCAGTGAAGGAGACATCTCCGACCCTATAAAGTATATATATTCTTGATCAGGATCACCTCCTGAGTTGATATGAGCATTTCCGTCTGTCTGTCTGTTTCTACGCGAACTAGTCTCTCAGTTTTAAAGCTATCGTCTTGAAACTTTGCACACACCCTTCTTTCCTTTGCACGCAGTATATAAGTCGGAACGGCCCGGATCAGCCGACTATATCCTATAGCTGCCATATAACTGATTGATCGGAAATGGTATAACTTTGGTGTTTTTAGAGTTAGAGAGTTTTAGAATTCAAATTTTACAGGAAATTTATTTTTGGCAAATTAGTACGACATGCCAAATTTCATAAGGATCGGCCGACTATATCTTATAGCTGCCATATAACTGAACGATCGAAAATGACTCAACTTTCGTGTTTTTGAAGATAGAAAGCTGAAACTTAATACAGATTATATTTTTGACCAGTTGATCCATCCTACCGAATTTCATTAGGATCGGCCGAATATATCCTATAGCTGCCATATAACTGAACGATCGGAAATGGTATTTGGTAGAAATATCAACTTTTGTGTTTTCGAAGATAGAAGCTTGGGACATTTTTTTAGATTTTTTATTTTAGTTAATTGGTTTTATTATGATGTAATCATAAGGATCGGCCAACTATATCCGATGTTTGAGATATATATCCGGTTTTAACTGCAAGGGTATATCAACTTCGGCTCCGCCCGAAGTTAGCTTTCCTTTCTTGTTTTTGTTATCAACTTTTCTATAACTTTGGAAGACATAAAATTTAGTTCCGCTTAGAGGGGGCGGTGCCACGCCTATTTTCTCAAAATATGTTCCTTAGCTTACTAAGAACCCAAATCAGAAAACAGAACCCGTTTTTGTTTCGTTTTGAAGTTATTAATTTTGGCCAGAAAAAGTGGTCATCCGGCCTATAGTGCACTGGTCCAGACAACCCCTTTTGTTGCCCAAAATCCATTTTTAAGAGTTGAGATATCGAAGTGATTTTGATCGCATTGTATTAGAAAAAGACTCACGATTAATGTTGCATATGAACAACTTTCATAGATTTTGCTACATTCCTTAAACTACATCGTCTCAACCGTACAAATTGTCATAGAAATAGCATTTTTAAAAAGATGTAGAAAGTGAGTTCAGCCTAGTCCAACCCTGAACCTATTGACCGTCGCAGAGTAATTAATTCTTTTTCGATTGTATGTAGTCAAAATAACCACTTTCAACCACTATTTTGGAATAGCAATTTATAGCAGAAGTTTCCATAATTTGGTTGGGCTCCATCAGCCCTAGTTGTTCGGAATCCGACTCTTTCTCGGCCGATCAATTTAAAGGGGCCTATTCTAAGAGACTTAGCTCCACAATGTCTATGTCGGACCGCCATCTCCGCTATCGAGAGCTTAAGCTTCGCTATAGCTAGTCTTTTCTTACTTAAGCATAATAAATAAACTATAAACTAATTCAGCGGCTGCTGCCTGTCCCGAAACTCGACACGCCCAATTTCTGTTTATTACATTAAGTAACTGCTTGGCACCCTTAACTCGCCTATCATAAATAATGATTCATAACTTGATCATCCAGTTTCATCTGCCTGCTGAATAAACAGATTATAACGTGCAATTATTTAATTCGACTTATATTTTTCAGCGGATTGTTATTGAAAAATCTCAATGACCAAACAGGGGGACATTGGAGTCTCTAGACAAACTGTTCTTTAGCAGGAATTTAATTTTGATGAATACTCATCGAAAGTTCAAAAGCATAGCTCGCAAGTAACTATTAACCGACTGGTTCGGTCTCAAAATAAGTGCTGTAAGCTTAGTTTGTGAACAAAAATTTTGAGAGCAACCTTTGCACTGTTCCTATAAAATTTTGCTCGTTCAAATGAGCAATATTTTCTGCTACCGTTTGCTCTGTTCTTCTCAGGAGACGGGAGACGGGCCTTTGGGAGACGGTTCAAAAAGTCTCTTTTGCGTGTACATATGTGTAAATGTAAAACTTTGTGACATTTGTATGTGCCGACAAAATAATTAAAACAAAAATGGAACATGGAATAAACAAATTAAATTTTTATACAAATTTAAGGCTAAAATCGCAAAACTTTAGTGCGCTCGCATGTAGTTTGGTCCACTTCGGCTACTTAGGTATCTGTTCAGTATTAAGGGGAGGTTCTTTTGGATTTTTTCGAAAATTAAGCAAACTTTGAGAATGGATTGCGGGAAAATGAAAAGACATACGAACTTATGCTTTTGAACTTTTGATTCGTTGTTTAAAAAAAAAAATTCAATATTCAGGAAATTCAAAATGGCGGATCTCGTAGACCTCTATTTTTCTGTTTTGTCGAGTGTAGGGCCGCTGGTAGTGAACTTAAATTAGAAATGTATGTAATTTATTAAAATTGATGGAATTTCCTATGCCTTATACCTAACGAAAATTAATTTTGGTAAAAATAAACCAATTTTATGGACGTTAAAAAAAAAAATTGACATTTTTTCTCTTTTTTTTACTTTGATCTCGTTTAAAAATTATAAAAAAACAATAAGGTATAAAGCATACAAAAAAGTATGTACTTTTAAACATTTTTTGAATGAAGGAAATCGGATCAATAGAACGAGCCCTGTGCGCGAAAAGAGGTTTGAAAACATGGTTCCGAGAAAAACGCGTTTAAAGTTTTAAGAAACTTTGCCTTTAGATAGCTTTCTTGTTATCATGGGTATGTTTGAAACGCTCTAGCTCAAGAAATACGCGTCGCATCGAAATATCCCTTGGCACGTATATTCTACACATATTTAACTTTCATTTTATTAAAAAAAATCGATTTTTTCAAAAAAAATCCAAAAGAACCTCCCCTTAATTAAGTATTTAAGTATTTTTAGCTTTTCAATTCTAAGAAAACGATGGAGTTCAATAAATACCCAAAACCTTAACTATCTATAAGTTCTTAAGCTGAACTCAAATAAATATAATAGAAAAAAAATTGATTAAAAAAATTAATTTTTTTATTCACTTTTTAAGGAAAGTTATGTATCATAAGAATTTCGATCTCCCACAATTAGTGCTTCATGCAGCTACGTCCGTTGAATCGGAAGGATATAAATGTGATATAAAGGATATAAATATGAATCGTAAAATATGAATACTATTTTATATCTTTTATAACAAAACTTTTGGTTAATACAAACAAGTATTTTCTGCTATGCATAAAAAAAATGTGTGTATATGTCGGGCACGACTATCGATACTTTCGAGGGCTCAAAGTTTACTATTGTCGAATATAAATGGCGACCACTATCGATAGTTCTTCACCTTTAATTCACATTTTAGACTTGCCTTTGTGTTCGATTATGTAGAATTCTCCCGTAAAGCAGGCCATCCACAGGCGAGCGTGTTGGCGAGATCCACTCGTTCATACGGATAGACGGAGAGTCGGACACGGTTATATCGACTCTAGATATGTGGAATATATATACTATATGGGGTCGAGGATCATTCCTTCTCTATGTTGAGGATCATGTCTATGTTGCGTACAATCCCATGACTACAAAATACCCTCGTACCTTATCTGTACCGGGTATACAAAGGTTAAAAATTGTTCAAAATTTTAAGAAATTTATTTTGTCATATATTTCTCAGTAGAAAAATGT